TAGCCTAAGAAAGTACTGTTGTCCTAAAGTTGCGGCTTTAAGAAAAGAACAAGAATGAAAGGCCTAAAGGCCTAGGTATAGGCTAATCTCAATCACAGCTTTATGAGAGATGGAACGAACAATAGCTTATTAAGAGAGGAGGATGAGGCAAATAAAGCAATTATTATCCCGTTCTGAAGGTCAACTTTCTTTCTATCCAGCCTAACTCAGAATGGTTCCTCAGCAGTTCACTGTCGCTTTGCTCCATCAAGTGCGCGAGACAGACACACACACCTGTTCCATCCTGAAGCTCAACCAAAAAGGAATATTCAAAAAGATTTGCCTGCACTTAGCCTCTGGCCAGGCTTTCAACAACATTCTCTTTCGTCATGATTCTTCCAGTTGTAGCATACGATTTTACGCTTTAAACCAATGGTGGTTTAGCAGTTTATTTTTTGCCAATAGGGTGCTATACCATCGTATATCACAATGTTTTATGAGTACATAATCACCATAGGACAAAGGTTGACATCGTCAAACCCTACTAGCCACTCTGCAGCAGACTGAATGGCCGTCTTTGTCAGTGGGGCATAATCGTCCGTTCAGAGGACTGATTGCATTACAGCTGGCCAGCCTGCTGTCACTGAGCTCTGCAGACACTGTCTGTGTCCCAAATTGCACCCCTAGTCCCTATATAGTACACAATTTTTGACCTGGGCCACTATGGCTCGGGTCAAAATAAGTGCTCTTAATGGAATAGGACGAAGCCTCTGAGAGAAGGGAGGGGGAAGGGGAATGTATCGAGGCTTAAATCTACGTTGGTACGGTCTCGCATGGTGAAGTGCCTACTGTTTTGGTGTCTCCTGTTGTTTTCCTGACTCAAGTGGTTGGTATGAGAATGCTTAAACAAATGTGTCTGTCTGTCTCTGCCCATGAACTTACTTGACTCCTGTTGAATGTCTGTCTGTCTGTTGGTTGGCAGAATACGACCCTGAAATTGAAGACCTCAGTGTTTGTATCAAATCAAATGTTATTTGTCACATGCGCCGAATACAACAGGTGTATGTAGACCTTACCGTGAACTGCTTACTTACAAGACGTTAACCAACAATGCAGTTTTAAGAAAATAGAGTTAAGAAAATATTTACTAAATAAACTAAAGTAACACAATAAAATAACAATAGCGAGGCTATATACAGGGGTACCGGTACCGAGTCAGTGTGCGGGGGTACAGGTTAGGGGTGTGTGCACCTGTGTTTTTGTGTGTGCCTGCGTGTGTATGGGTGGGTATATGTGTGTGTGGAGGTCCCACCTGCTCTGGGGTAAACTCTTGTGCCAGCGGTGTGCGGCTGCTCTCTCTGGGCTCGTCTCCCATCTGGGTCTGGGGCAGGTCATAGACGGTGAATCCCAAACAACCCCCTCGCCCCTACCAACTCACTCTGAGGCCCCTCTGTTGTCACCTGCTGCTGACAACTCAGAGGGTGACTTCCAGAGAGTGGTGAGGGGATCAATAAACCCATCAACTTCGAGACACATGCAATTCATGTTCCACTTTTAAATAATAAAACAACCATAAACTCAAAAATAACGCTGTGCCTTATGTGATTCCACTTCGCTCTGAAGCCATTGTTGCTGGCTCGGTCGAAGTGGCTATTGGATGGTATAATTAGCCCCTACACCCTCCATTTTCACTCCCTCAGCTTTGGGTCACTTGTGCATTTGGCGGAGGCGCGCGTGCAAATGGAGGGCCGAGTGGAGCTGGGCGATATGGACAAAAAATCCATATTGCGATAACAATAAATAGAACGATACGTTTCTAACAGTGTGCACCACCGTACAAAATAAAAAAAAAATCATTTAAACTACTACTACTAGTTTGATGGTTGTAGCCATCAATTGTCCCATTATCAATCACCCAAATTAGCAAACTTATTTCATTTCAAACATTTCTCTAGTATAGGCTACTTATCGTAATGAACGATATCAGAAAAATGCCTGCGATACATGGTTGGTGTTGACAATTTTTGGTTTGTTGTCCCAGCTCAAGGGGCGAGGGGAAGGGGCTGATTTGGGATTCAGCCAGTATCCTGGCTCCTATTTTCTCTTCCTGTCACCTAATACCAGTCACCTGACAGAGCCACCGTACGCCACCACAACGTCTCTCTCTCTGCCACACACTATCATACACACACACACACACACACACACACACACACAAACACTATCACACAAACACTCCTAGGGTAGAGAGTGCAGCTCACCACCCGATCCCAGCCAAATACAATATACACTGACTAAGAGAAGAGGAAGTGTGTGTCAGTGTGGAGCAGAACTGCAGCATTCTTCGTCCCTCTCGCAGTGTAATTGTAGAGCTGTCTCCTAGTATGTCATATTGGTTGTGTCCCAAATGGAGCCCAATGGAGCCTGGTCAAAATTAGTGCACTATATAGGGAATAGGGTGCCATTTGGGATACGTGCAGTGAGGGGGAAAAAGTATTTGATCCCCTGCTGATTTTGTAAGTTTGCCCACTGACAAAGAAATGATCAGTCTATAATTTTAATGGTAGGTTTATTTGAACAGTGAGAGACAGAATAACAACAAAAAAATCCAGAAAAACACGTGAACATTTTTATAAATTGATTTGCATTTTAATGAGGGAAATAAGTATTTGACCCCTCTGCAAAACATGACTTAGTACTTGTTGGCAATCACAGAGGTCAGACATTTCTTGTAGTTGGCCACCAGGTTTGCACACATCTCAGGAGGAATTTTGTCCCACTCCTCTTTGCAGATCTTCTCCAAGTCGTTAAGGTTTCGAGGCTGACTTTTGGCAACTCGAACCTTCAGCTCCCTCCACAGATTTTCTATTGGATTAAGTTCTGGGGACTAGCTAGGCCACTCCAGGACCTTAATGTGCTTCTTCTTGAGCCACTCCTTTGTTGCCTTGGCTGTGTGTTTTGGGTCATTGTCATGCTGGAATACCCATCCACGACCCATTTTCAATGCCCTGGCTGAGGGAAGGAGGTTCTCACCCAAGATTTGACGGTACATGGCCCGTCCATCGTCCCTTTGATGCGGTGAAGTTGTCCTGTCCCCTTAGCAGAAAAACACCCCCAAAGCATAATGTTTCCACCTCCATGTTTGACGGTGGGGATGGTGTTCTTGGGGTCATATGCAGCATTCCTCCTCCTCCAAACACAGCGAGTTGAGTTGATGCCAAAGAGCTCCATTTTGGTCTCATCTGACCACAACACTTTCACCCAGTTCTCCTCTGAATCATTCAGATGTTCATTGGCAAACTTCAGACGGCCCTGTATATGTGCTTTCTTGAGCAGGAGGACCTTGCGGGCGCTGCAGGATTTCAGTCCTTCACGGCGTAGTGTGTTACCAATTGTTTTCTTGGTAACTATTGTCCCAGCTGCTTTGAGATCATTGACAAGATCCTCCCGTGTAGTTCTGGGCTGATTCCTCACCATTCTCATGATCATTGCAACTCCACGAGGTGAGATCTTGCATGGAGCCCCAGGCCGAGGGAGATTGACAGTTATTTTGTGTTTCTTCCATTTGCGAATAATCGCACCAACTGTTGTCACCTTATCACCAAGCTGCTTGGCGATGGTCTTTTAGCCCATTCCAGCCTTGTGTAGGTCTACAATCTTGTCCCTGACATCCTTGGAGAGCTCTTTGGTCTTGGCCATGGTGGAGCGTTTGGAATCTGATTGATTGATTGCTTCTGTGGACAGGTGTCTTTTATACAGGTAACAAACTGATATTAGGAGCTATTATATATATTGTGCTCCTAATCTCAGCTCGTTACCTGTATAAAAGACACCTGGGAGCCAGAAATCTTTCTGATTGAGAGGGGGTCAAATACTTATTTCTCTCATTAAAATGCAAATCAATTTATAAAATTTTTGACATGCGTTTTTCTGGATTTTGTTGTTGTTATTCTGTCTCACTGTTCAAATAAACCTACCATTAAAATTATAGACTGATCATTTCTTTGTCAGTGGGCAAACGTACAAAATCAGCAGGGGATCAAATACTTTTTCCCCTCACTGTATATTGTCTACTCCACTGCTGCCTGTCGGACAGGAACATTACAGCACGCAGCAGAAAGAGAGGCTTCCATTTACTCTATACGCCTCAGAACATTTATGCAACTTCCCCCTAGAGACAGGAGTATTGCAGTGGATTTGCAAAACATCTTGATTGGTGGGAACCAGTTAACAATTTACGGGATTTTCACATTAAGCATGTCAAACTGTTGGGTTTTGTGACACACAAAGATCTGCCTTTCACTCAAGGGCATCCAAGATTTCACTAAATTGAGTCTGTCTAGGTTGACTTTGGGTTCAGGCTTCATGTCCTCTGATGACTCGGAATGCGCTCTGATTCTGAATCATAGATTCCTGTCTAAGAATCTGAGTACGCTCTCTTTGTCCTCATTGGCCCCGCTACAGTAGATGGCTGGGATGTTTACCTACAAAACTGATGCGCGTGCATCCGAGTGGCCGGAAACAGACAGGGTTGGCTTACAATTATAGGATTATGTAAACTATATTTAGCCTCCAAATGTTTATTGAAAACGTAAATACATTTACACAATAAGGTACTTGTTGTCTCTCAAATACATTGTTACAGTTGTTGGGTAGTTAGCTAGTGGATTTTAGCTGTATTAGCATAGACGTGACATGAGTCAACACACCTCAAAACATGGTATCAAGAACAAGACACAACTAGCTGAAACAAGCCACCTATGATTCCCCACATGGCAGCTTTTTGTCATTGTTGCTATCTGACCCTTCAGAATCATAACACAGCCTTTTGCCTATGCAATGCACGCACATCATTGTGGTGACGTTGTCAGGCAACCCGTCTGTAGTGTGTTATTGCTATGATGCCCTCATTGCCCTGGCGGACCAGGGTAGGACACTGGCCCTCTATGTGTCTGCAGTGGGAGGATTGAGGGGTTCATGGCTGCATAGTTTGGGACCCGTTCCCTGTGCCTGCCTTCCAGGCTGTGGAGCTAGCAGCAGAGGACACACCGCCTGCCCCCCAGCCTCCCGGTCCTGCCTGCCTGCTGGAGGAATGTTCTGAATGCATCCTCTTCCCTTCCAACAACCAGCCTCTTGTGAAAATACTTGGCAGAGCTGCCTGAGCAGAGCTCCAAAGCCACTGTTTTTTTGCTGCTGTTGCCATGGTGATGCAAGGAGGGGCTTAGGGAGGGGTTGATGGAATTGATTTAAATAAACATTTTTGAAAGGTGTAGGCCTACCCTAGTCAACCTACAGGAATATGTGTGTGTGTAGTGGTGTAGTTCTGTGTCTACAGTGTGTTTTGACGGCATGATTGAGTGGAGGGAATTGAGATAGGAGAAACGCTGATTGTTAAATAAATTGCACCTTGTGAGCATGCACTGCATCAAAAGTTCAACACTAACTTTTCTGGTAAACAGCACGACATAGTCGATTTATCCCAACCTTCTGCATTCACATGCCCCCTTGATCAACTCTTTGATCTCATTGACAAATGTTGAGTTTAATGTTTGGGTATAGCATAGGCTATGTGATGCAGTTTGAAAGTGTCCTAACCCAGTAGAGTTTAGATATGCCAACGCTACTAAATGGCTTGATGTCATTTTTCAATGCATAGGTGCTCTTGTTTATTAAAAAGCTCTTTGTCAAAGCTTTTTTGTTCTAACCCAGTGTTTCTCTGTGTCTCTTTAGCCTTTCTTCAGACTTCTGAACCTGCGGAAGCTGGGTCTGAGTGACAATGAGATCCAGAGGCTCCCTCCTGAGGTGGCCAACTTCATGCAGCTGGTGGAGCTCGACATTTCCAGAAACGGTGCGTGCGCATGCGCACACACACACACACACACACACACACAAACAGGCTGGCGGTTTGCGGCCCCCTCTGCTGGGGTCAAAACCAGGTTCAATACCAGCATACAGTCGGCATGCGTGCAAATTACCACCATAAACAGACACCTATTTTAACCACCCAGTAATTCATATAAAATGCTGCGAAACATCACTTCCAGAGAACCAACAAAGACCTAGAGCAAAAACCTGCATTCATGGGCAGACAAGCTTAACAAAATACAAGCAAGTAGGCAAAAGTCTAATAGACCAATAGAAACTAGGGCTGTCCCGACAAAAAAATATATACGTTGACCGAGAGTCATCTGTTCTTTCGAACAATCGATTGGTCGAAATGTAAAACGTGTATTTTTTCATATATAGACACACCCTATGTGTTTTAATAAAATCAACTATGCACTGAGCTTGTCTAAAACTTTAAGGGCACTGTTTGATTAAATAATGAATACATAAATGACTCAAGAGGGAGCCAGAGACCAAGATAGCCTAACCAGAAGAAAAAAAACTGTTCCCGACCCACTTCCTGCTGGCCTTCGCAGATTCTGCCGTTACGCTCCTGAAGTGGCTGGTAATGGGCTACACCAGGGGTCGGCAACCTTTTTCCATGTGGAGTGCCAATTTACTATTTATCTTACAATTTCTACCAATCTGCGTGCCAGTTGTGATTTTCATATGTACATTTTCGTGGAATATTGAAATTATAATTATAATGGTTCTATTTCCAACTAGGGAAAAAATGCCTACATAACGCCTACCAATAAAAACATTGCAGGTAGAAAATATCCTGATATAAATAAATATCCTATGAAACACATTTGGCAACGCATGGAGGTTTGTTCATTTTCATCAATTGCATTCATCTCTCTACTCTACCTGTCTGCAACAAACATAAAACATTGTGTCCACTATAAACTGGGTAGGCTACAGCCAGCAGCTGGTGCTTGCAAACTTGCAACAATGTATAAACTGTTCTGGGCCCTCAGTTTCCTGCTACAGTGAGCTCCAGACAGACACAGCTGTACAGTGCATTCAGAAAGTATTCAGACCCCTTGACTTTTTCCACATTTTGTTTTGTTACAGCCTTATTCTAAAATGGATTAAATTGTTATTTTTTTCTCAAGCTACACACAATAACCCATAATGACAAAGCAAAAACAGGTTTTTAGATTTTTTTGCAAATGTATTAAAAATAAACATTAAAATATCACATTTACATAAGTATTTAGACCCTTTACTCAGTACTTTGTTAAAGCACCTTTGGCAGCGATTACAGCCTCGAGTCTTCTTGGGTATGATGCTACAAGCTTGGCACACCTGTATTTGGGGAGTTTCTCCCATTCTTCTCTGCAGATTCTCTCAAGCTCTGTCAGGTTGGATGGGGAGCGTCACTGCACAGCTATTTTCAGGTCTCTCTAGAGATGTTCTATCGAGTTTAAGTCCGGGCTCTGGCTGGGCCACTCAAGGACATTCAGAGACTTGTCCCGAAGCCACTCCTGCGTTTTCTTGGCTGTGTGCTTAGGGTTGTTGTCCTGTTGGAAGGTGAACCTTCGCCCCAGTCTGAGGTCCTGAGATTATAAATTTTTTTGATAAATTTTGGAATAAGGCTGTAACGTAACAAAATGTGGAAAAAGTAATGGGGTTTGAATACTTTCCAAATGCACTGTAAACCCCCCTACAAATCAATGGCAGAAGTCAATTCCGCCCTTGATCATTTACGTCAAACCGATCTCAAATGGTTTCTCATTCTGCAACTCAGCACATACACACCACACACATACTCGCACACAATGGAAATAGTCGTTGCCCTCTCGTGTCCTTGGTGTTCATATCATATAGCGGGTGACAGGAAAAGCAGTATACAGTATAGATATATCTGACTGTGCTCCCCCCTCTCTAATCTGTCTCTCTGTCTGTCTCTGTCCGCAGACATTCCCGAGATCCCCGAGAGCATTAAGTTCTGCAAGGCATTGGAGATTGCAGACTTCAGTGGAAACCCCCTCTCCAGGTTAGTGGATCAGTCCAGTGTCACCTCTCTCTCTGCTGTTGCCTTTGTGGAAATGCCTTTGAGATATATGGGGGAGGTCATTGTCATACGTGTGCCATGTGGTGATTATTTCCTTCTTTCCATAATGGCCTGAAGATAAACAGCGCAAAACAATGAAGCGAATGTGCAACGAACTGTGCAGATAGTGGTCTCCCAGATGTGTCAAAGGCTCAGAGCAGGCCCTTTCTCAGTATTAGATTATGTACAGTACATTAGCAAAACACCTCGAGGAGAACAAGGCTTTGTGAGGCTACAGTATGCTGTTCTCTGACCCAGAAACTACATTAAAGCCCCAGTGCAGTCAAAAACGTGATTTTTCCAGTGTTTTATATATATTTCCACACTGAGGTTGGAATAATACTGTGATATAGTGAAAGTGATGATAATGCCCTTTTAGTGTAAGAGCTGTTTGAAAAGACCGCCTGAAAATTTCAGCCTGTTTTGGTGGGTGGAGTTTTGGCCTGCATGGTGACATCACGGTTAATTAGTTAATAGACCAATAAGAAAGAGTTCCGAGCCTCTCTGCCAATAACAGCTAGTTTTCAGTTTTCCCCTCCCCACTCAGACCACTCCCAGACAGTCCTAGCAAAATTGTTGCTTGAGAAATTATATGATATTGAGGGGAAAAAACTGTTGCGTTGGACCTTTTGACATGGCGTTTAAGTATACTGTAGAAGTGTAATGCTCGGCAAGGCAAACATCTCCCTGCTTTGACTTCTCCTATAGAATAGGAAAGGAACTGTTGGCAGGAGTGGTGGTGATGAGTGCTTTGTCAGATGGATCTGGCCACATACGGTGCATCCCAAATGGCACCCCTTTCCCATATAGTGCACTACTAAGAAGTGCACTGTAAAGGGAATAGGGTGCTATTTGGGATGCATCCATAGGCAGGGGAGGCGGCTATTCCAACTGCTTCAAAGGCTGATGTTAAAGGGCCATTGAGAAAGAACGACCTTCTTTCTCTAACCATTTTGTCACCCTCTCTCTCTCTCGCTCTCTGTCTTTCTCTCCATCGGTTTTCCTCGCTTCCTTTCTGTCCTCATCACCAGGTTGCCTGATGGTTTCACTCAGCTCAGAGGGCTCGCCCACCTGGCACTCAATGACGTGTCGTTGCAGACACTGCCCAACGACATAGGAAAGTAAGTACACACTTCGACACAGGTTTCCTTCTTACTCTAAACATTCAACCTCCTCGTTCTGTAAAATAGCAGACCTTGGTAAAGGTGTAATTACATGACACAGTGGGCTCTCAGACAGACAGACTGACTGCTCTGCGTGACCGGTTGGACGAGACCAATCGCCATGCCAATCAGGACCAACAGACCCTCCATCTGACTAACTCCTTCTCCTCCCTCTCTCCTCCTCCCTCCTCTCCTCCTCCTCCTCCTCCTCCTCCTCCTCCCCTCTCTCCTCCCTCCTCCTCCTCCTCCTCCTCCCCTCCTCCTCCCTCTCTCCTCCTCCTCTCCCTCCTCCTCCTCTCCTCCTCCTCCCTCTCTTCTCCTCCCTCCTCCTCTCCTCCTCCTCTCCTCTCTTCTCCTCCCTCCTCTTCTCCTCCCTCCTCTCTCCTCCTCCTCCCTCCTCTCTCCTCCTCCTCCATCCCTCTCTCATCCTCCCTCCCTCTCTCCTCCCTCTCTCCTCCCTCTCTCCTCCTCTCTCTCCTCCTCCCTCTCTTCTCCTCCCTCCTCCTCTCCTCTCTCCTCCTCCTCCCGCTCTCCTCCTCCTCTCCTCCCTCTCTCCTCCTCCTCCCTCTCTCCTCCTCCTCCCTCTCTCCTCCTCCTCCCTCCCTCTCTCCTCCTCCTCTCCTCCCTCTCTCCTGCAGCCTGGCCAACCTGGTGACGCTGGAGCTCAGGGAGAACCTGCTCAAGTCCCTGCCCACGTAAGTGCCCTCTTTAGCCTGGCGTAGTCCCCAGCCACCCTCCATGCTAGGGAAGGTGGTTATATCCTAGAAAGGAGCCCTTGATGATATGACTGGTGATTTGAAGCACATTAGTATATCTGTTCACTAGCAAACAACATTATTTGCTCCCTTCACTATGGATACAGTTGTTGTGAGAGGGACAGACTGTAAATGTGATTGCTGAATGACCAGCTTATCATGTGTGTGACTGTGTGGGAGTGTGTGTCAATGATTGGGCGTGATGGTTAGCATATCTGGTCCCGACTGTAACAGTCCAGATGTCGTCTTCAAATACATTATTGATGTATTTATATATAGATTATAAATATATTCAACGCTGGGTGCGTTTCAACGAGACTGTGTCATCTGTGAGTGTGCAGTAGTCCCCGTTACTTCAGTGTTTCTATGATTGATGTGTTTCTCTCACTTATCCAGGTCACTCTCTTTCCTGGTGAAACTGGAACAACTGGACCTGGGCAGCAATGAACTGGATGTGTTGGTAAGAACAAGCTCTAAATAGCACTGTTCCCTATACTGTGCACTACTTTGGATCAGCGCCCAAGAGCCCTGGAACCAAAGTGGTTAACTACATAGGGAATAGGGTGGCATTTGCAGCATGACAATAACTCACATTCTCAACATGCATGGAGGCCATACAAATATACACCCGCCTTGAGCCTGGTTTATGCTGTACCACAAAAACACATCTTACATACAAGCTGGTTAGATATACAGCTTACAGGACATACCACACAGGATCATACACCCTGGTTGTCCAGCAGGGTTGGGGTACAGAGTTTCTAAGCCCAGAGGCCCAACATCGCGAGACTTTCGGGAACGCTTGTGAAGCAAACTCTGCAGACCAGACCAGGGTTTGGGGTTTGAGAAGTCGATGAGAGAAGTGAAAAATGATTCCTTAATTTTCTAGATTTCTAAAGGGCACAACATTCAAACTGATGTTTTTAAGTAGATGAACATGTCATTACTACAACCACGTGAAAGTGTCACACTGACACTTTTATTTATTTTTTGTCAAAAACAACTTTATATCGGAAGAGTGCCTTTCATTTGTGGAGTTTAGAGCGAGATGACGTGTTTCTGCGGATGAGCTTAGCTAGCCAACGTCGCCATGACATCGCCTACAAGTGTGATACGGGATTTCTATTGGAGAAGCAGTTTCTACATATCTTCATACTAAACCATCTTTGGTTGGGGTCAATTCGAATTGAAGTCAGTCAATTCAGGATGTGATTTGATTTTAAAATCCAGAAAAACGTTTGACATAGCTTCTCCTTTTCAGTTTATTGAGAAGTCATTGAATATAGATGCACATTTTATTTATTTATGGGAATTTAAGTTTACTTCCTGAATTGACTGCCTTCAATTTGAATTGACCTCAACCCTGATGTCCAGCACGTGCGGGCGTGCACGGACACACACACACACATCACTCTACCCAAGCACCCATCTAACCCACATATCTAGCCCACAAACAAACACACATGCTTGGAACTGGTCTGTTGGACATTAGGGCCCCTGCGTGCTATGAATGCGTCCCACATGGCACCCTATTCCCTATATAGTGCATTACTATGGTCCCTGGCCAAAAGTAGTCTCCTATGTAGGGAAAAAGGGATAGGGCCCTGGTCAAATGTAGTGCGCTCTGTAGGTAATAGGGTGCCCTTGACTCCTGCTTCTTTTAGCATGGGAACGCCTGCCTGGCTAGTAGTCTCAATGGGACAGGGTAAACAATGCCTGCTGTGATGAGAAGGGCGTAGGCTGCTGCCTGAAAGCCTGGCTGCCTGCCTGTCAATACTGTACATTGCTCAACCCTCACAGGCATACTAGTCTTTAATGTAATGCATCGCTCAGATACAATCTGGGGTCATTTGACAGGTTTTGTGTTCTCTGGGATTGGTTCCCAATGCCTTTTTTGGAGTCCAAATTAATTGCCCCTCCGGGATAAATCGTTTTTTTTAATTGAATTGGAGCAGGATACAGGCTAAGGGCAAGCATCTTGTTTTTGATAGAAACATGCTTTGTTCTGTGTGGTTTGTGGGCATAGAAAACAGGCGCTGTGTGTGTGTGTGTGTGTGTGTGTGTGTGTGTGTGTGTGTGTATGATCGTTTGTGTTGTCAGGTGAATCTTGCCCCTTCACACAACCATTTGGGGACCCCAGAGTAGAGCGGTGGTATTTGGGGCATATGATGTGTGATTATGTATCCGCCCCCTCTCCCCTTCCCAAACGATGCATATTTAAGTACAGTGGATGGTGCACGTTTGTTCCCACTCTAGAAGCAGAGCAAAGACGACACACTTCGGCCTCTCTGTTTACCTTTCTCCTCTCTCTTTTTTTCCTCCCTCAATCTCTAACAGCCGGACACACTTGGTGCTCTCCCTAACCTACGGGAGCTGTGGTTGGACCGCAACCAGCTCTCCTCGTTGCCACTAGTGAGTATTGTCCTGGCTTGGCATCCATGTCATTCTTATTCGCTTACAACCAGAACATTGCTCAGTATGAAATAGGCTTGGGCGGTATACTGGGATATTTGGAAGTAGCCACAGGATGGTTTTTCAATACCGTTGAAACAATTGCTTTGACGTTTTATTTTTATACATTTTGAATATTTGTAGATACTTTTTAAGTAAATAGCTGCAGTCAACTTATGCAATACGTTAGGAGATAAAGAAGATTGCATTCTTCATTTTACCGGTAGTCCCCAGTCACGTGGTGTTTGTTTACAAGCACAAGGAGAGACCAGAGCCTTGTGAGTCACTCACTGTTGTGCAGCATGCACCAGGTGACCTAGTTACAGTATGGTTACAGTATGCTTGCCGGCTAGATACTGTATCTTATACCTATTAAGTAAACTGTCTAAAATGTGCTAAATGCTCTGCAGTTGAGCATTTAGTTTGCTCATTTAGTAGCTAGTTAGCTAACTAGCTAAGTGGTTAGCTTCTTCCAAAATCAATCTTTGCTTGGTAGTAGCAGAGAGTCGCCTCCTGGATCAAGAGCCTTGCTGTTTAGTATTGGTTTTGTGCACGCAACTATGAGTAGCATTGAGTTACTAAGCCGGGACGTCTGTCCTGGAAATACTTTAGGTCAGAGACTGTATAAAATGTTCGCAATGTGCTCGTTAACATTTAGTTAGCATTCTTTATGGGATTGTACATGTGCTTGTTGGCATTGCTAACCTTCGGATTACAGAGGATCAGTGGGGTTTGAAAATAGCACCCCTTGTGTCCTGTGCCGGTATTACGCAAATCTCGGTATGGCACAAGGTCGGTATGAATGTATGACAATCTGGATACCGCCCAAGCCTAGTATGAAACCTACCACATATATTTCAGTGAGAGTATTCACACTAAAAACAACATTGCTTTGTGTGTTTGTCTGTAGGAGCTGGGGAACCTGCGGAGGCTGGTGTGTCTGGACGTTTCGGAGAACCGCCTAGAGGAGTTGCCCTCAGAGCTCAGCGGCCTGCTGGCCCTCACTGACCTGCTGCTCACACAGAACCTCCTGGAGGTGGTCCCTGACAGCATAGGTGAGGGAGAGAGAGAGAGATGGGAGAGAGCGGGGAGGTAGATAGGGAGAGAGGGAGGAAAGGTTACCTGATGGCATTCGCTGGCCCTTTTTGTACGGTGCCTTATTCACCTGAACTGATTTACACAGTAGCTTCATTGTCAGACTAAACAGAGTTTTTCAAAGTACTTTGTCAAGGTAGAAAGAGGAGGAAGGGAAGCGCTACTAAGGTACACAGTAGTAGATGTTGGTAGACAGAAGGTGCTCTTTGGTCAACAAAAAGAAAGGAGGACCAAGGCACTCTTCATATAATTAATTAAAATACCTTTATTAGTATGGCATGTTCAATAGAAAGAAGATTTTTTTTTTCATCTTGACGCGTTTCGGCTGCATGGCCTTTGTCAGGTGTGCTAGTAGACCCATGGCCATTGGGCATTTTCATTGCTTGGATGTAATAGAAGGTAATGCACAAACAACCATACTGCCCCCTACTGGGGAAATGATATCTATAAACTGACTCAAAGGCTTGTAATGGTGATTGACCTGGGTCGTGTTCATTAGGCACCATATGGACAAAAACAGACCAAAAAAAAAGGGACCCGAACTTGTCCAATAAGAAACACGTTTTAATTTTCCGTTACAAAACATTTTTCTACTGTGTGCAGACTGTGCGCTAATGAATATGACCCAGGTGACTAAATGGTGTTTGTTGTGTTTCTAGGCTCTCTGAAGCAGCTGTCCATCCTGAAAGTGGACCAGAACCGACTGACCCACCTGAGTGACTCCATAGGAGAGTGTGAGAACCTGACGGAACTCGTACTGACCGAGAACCTCTTACAGGTACACAACCGTTGCATTTAGAACCCATTTTAGAACCATAGTTCTCTGGCTCAGAACAAATGTACAGTACTATACGTGTCTTGGCTGGGAGTCTCGGAACATGTCCTTTCAATAACTCCCTTGAGATGCATAATTTTTTATGTCCATTCAATTATTCATTTTTAATTATTGTTATTTTTTAATCTATAGACTCTGCCTCGCTCGCTGGGCAAACTGAAGAAGCTGACCAACCTGAATGTGGACCGCAACCGGCTGGGCGGCGTGCCTGATGAGCTGGGCGGTTGTGCCAGCCTCAACGTGCTCTCCCTCAGAGACAACCGCGTGGCCAAACTGCCCGCCGAGCTGGCTGACGCCACCGAGCTCCACGTTCTGGACGTGGCAGGGAACAGGTAACCCCTCTACACCCCATATAGGTCCCGCAAATCACTGGTGTTGGTAGACTTCTCTCCTGTAACAACGTATCTAGTGACTCCACTTCTCAAGTAGTCCGAGCTTTGCTTGATCCTTTATCAAGTCTCTAATAATAAAATTAATGCAATTTAGCAGACTCCTTTTTTTCCCCCCAAAGTGACTTACAGTAGTGCATGCATATATTTTCATATGGGTGGCCCCAGCAGGAATGGAGCCCATGATCCTGACGTTGCAAACGCAGTGTTCTACCAACTGAGCCACACCGGACTATTCTTCAGAAGAGTACTTTCCATATGTTTTTTCCCATGTTGTTGTGGTGTCCCCAGGTTACAGAACCTGCCGTTTGCCCTGGCCAACCTCAACCTGAAGGCCATGTGGCTGGCAGAGAACCAGTCCCAGCCCATGCTCAAGTTCCAGACGGAGGACGACGACAGCACCGGGGAGAAGGTGCTCACCTGCTACCTGCTGCCCCAGCAGCCCTCCCCCAGCCTGGGTGAGTTAGCCCTACACCTACCTCTTGATGGACATCATCTTCCTCCTCCTCTCTCACTACCTCTATCACGCTCTGTTCTCCATCTCAACCTTTTCCTGGGCTATTCACTATTTACCATCTTAACCGCCCTCTCCTCCTTCACTGCGTATCATCTTCCATTTACTTCCTCTTAACATAGGAGCTGCACTGGGGTGTTGCAAAATCAGTCGTTTTTTTTTAACCTGTGACGCTGGAAACGTAACTTTTGGCCAGCGCGAGCAGGGCGCAAGCCACTTTATCAAGTTATCAGGCGTGAGCTGCGTATCGAAATCTTGAAAATAGAACCAGATTGTAATTTTTTCACTGAGCAGCACGTTCCTCTCCCAGAGTCGTTCTTGCTCTCCTGTCACTCTCAACCCAAATGTTCTTAAGATCACTTCTCATAACTCCCCTGTACCACAAAGATTACCGTTTTAATCCAGGAAAAGTGATTCTCTTGTTAGCTGCTGGAAGGTCCCACCTGTTTTGTAACCCAGTCCCTCTCTCCATCCTGTCTCCCTACAGAGAACCTGCTGCAGAACAGTGTGGACGATAGCTGGATAGACAGCAACCTGAACCGTGTGTCAGTTATCCAGTTCCAGGAGGAGACCACCAAGCAGGATGAGGACGATGAGGCGGCTGCAGAGCGCAGGGTAAGACTACTAATACACTTATAAATATACAATACATATACAGTGCCTTCAGAAAGTATTCCCACCCCTTGACCTTTTCCACATTTTGTTGTTACAAAGTGGGATAAAAATTATCAAAATATTCAACAATGTGGAAAACATTTATGGGAAATAAAACACTAATCTACTGTATCTTGATTAGATAAGTATTCAACCCCTTGAGTCAATACATGTTAGAATCACCTTTGGCAGCGATTACAGCTGTCTGTCTTTCTGGGTAAGTCTCTTAAGAGCTTTCCACACCTGGATTGTGCATTATTCTTTTCAAAATTCTTTAAGCTCTGTCAAATTGGTTGTTGATCATTGCTAGACAACCATTTAAAGGTCATACTTTAGATTTTCAAGCAGATTTGTCAAAACTGGAACTCAACATTCACTGTCTTCTTGGTAAGCAACTCCAGTGTAGATTTGGCCTTTTGTTTTAGGTTATTGTCCTGCTGAAAGGTGAAGTCATCTCCCAGTGTCTGGTGGAAAGCAGACTGAACCAGGTTTTCCTCTAGGATTTTGCCTGTGCTTAGCTCCATTCAGTTTCTTTTTTTATCCTAAAAAACTCCCCAGTCCTTAACGATTAGAAGCATGACCACAACATGATGCAGCCACCACTATGCTTGAAAATATGGAGAGTGGCACTCAGTAATGTGTTTTATTGGATTTGCCCCAAAGTTAATTGCTTTGCCACATTTTTGTGCCTTGTTGCAAACAGGGTGCATTTTTTTGAATGTTTTTATTCTGTACAGGCTTCCTTCTTTTCACTCTGTCAATTAGGTTAGTATTGTGGCGTAACTACAATGTTGTTGATCCATCCTCAGTTTTCTCCTATCACAGCCATTAAACTCTATAACTGTTTTTTGAAGTCACTTTGGCCTCATGGTGGAATCCTTGAACGGTTTCCTTCCTCTCCGGCAACTGAGTTAGGAAGGGCACCTGCATCTTTATAGAGACTGGGTGTATTGATACACCATCCAAAGTGTAATTAATAACTTCATCATGCTCAAAGGGATATTCAATGTCTGTTTTTTTATTTTTACCCATCTACCAATAGGTGCCCTTGTTTGCAAGGCATTGGAAAACCTCCCTTGTCTTTGTGGTTGAATCTGTGTTTGAAATTCACTGCTTGACTGAGGGACCTTACAGATAATTGTATGTGTGGGGTACAGAGATGAGGTAGTCATTCAAAAATGTGTAACACTATTATTGCACTCAGTGAGTCCATGCAATGTGTGACTTGTTAAGCTAATTTTTACTCCTGAACTTATTTAGGCTTTAAAAAACGTATTGACTCAAGACGTTTCAGCTTTTCATTTGTAATGAATTTGTAAAATGTTTGAAAAACATAATTCCACTTTGACATTATGGGGTATTGTGTGTAGGCCAGTGACGACACGTCTCTATTTAATCCATTTGAAATTCAGGCTGTAACATTATTTTTTTTAGCCAAGGGGTATGAATACTTTCTGAAGCCACTGCATGTAATACATGTATTTTTTAATGTATATATTTTTTTGGGTATTTTGACACTTTCTTTAGACAATTATGAAACGAGAGCGGTATACAGGCAGGCGGGAGATTGAACCCTCTTGAGGAGCTTCCTTCATGGGATTCGTGCACTGCACAAACCAACACATTTTAAAATGAAGCACTCTATGGCTGGTTCATAACTTAGCTTCCTCTCATTGTCCTTTCTTTCCTTTCCGTTGTGACCGCTGATCTGACAGGGCAGATGGTAGCGAGACGTCCAGTCAGAAAATCAGTAGCAGCCTCCATTCCAGTCATAGTTTCAGCAGCTCAGTCTTTGAGTTTCCTTGAGTCCGTTTGTTGTTGGTCTAATTTACAGTTTGCGGAGGTCTTTTTGAGGAGGTCTCCTTGTGTGTCTGTAATTGACTGTCTGTAGATGAACTGTCAGTCTGGGGAATTTACAGATTCTCGTGTGCTTGTGTGTCTGTTCAGGGTCTCCAGCGCCGGGCAACTCCCCACCCCAGTGAGCTGAAGGTGATGAAGAAGGTGATTGAGGAGAGGAGGAACGAGCCCTACATATCCAGGCCTGATGGAGAGACGGAGTCTCCTGGTACTGAGGTACAACACACCACTGACACACTACTGTACATCCTACATGCCACCGTACTTGAGATCCGTGAGTGAAACTTTTCACGCAAATGTAAATGGAAGGTCACATTCCAAATGGCACCCTATACCCTGTATAGCGCGCTTCTATGGGCCCTGGTCAAAAGTAATGGACTATATATCATATAAAATCAAATCAAATCAAATTTTATTGGCCACATGCGCCGAATACAACAGGTGCAGACATTACAGTGAAATGCTTACTTACAGCCCTTAACCAACAGTGCATTTATTTTTAATAAAAAAAGTAAAATAAAACAACAACAAAAAAGTGTTGAGAAAAAAAGAGCAGAAGTAAAATAAAATAACAGTAGGGAGGCTATATATACAGGGGGGTACCGGTGCAGAGTCAATGTGCGGGGGCACCGGCTAGTTGAGGTAGTTGAAGTAATATGTACATGTGGGTAGAGTTAAAGTGACTATGCATAAATAATTAACAGAGTAGCAGCAGCGTAAAAAGATGGGGTGGGGGGGCAGTGCAAATAGTCCGGGTAGCCATGATTAGCTGTTCAGGAGTCTTATGGCTTGGGGGTAGAAGCTGTTGAGAAGTCTTTTGGACCTAGACTTGGCACTCCGGTACCGCTTGCCATGCGGTAGCAGAGAGAACAGTCTATGACTAGGGTGGCTGGAGTCTTTGACAATTTTGAGGGCCTTCCTCTGACACCGCCTGGTATAGAGGTCCTGGATGGCAGGAAGCTTGGCCCCAGTGATGTACTGGGCCGTACGCACTACCCTCTGTGCCTTGCGGTCGGAGGCCAAGCAGTTGCCATACCAGGCGGTGATGCAACCAGTCAGGATGCTCTCGATGGTGCAGCTGTAGAATTTTTTGAGGATCTGAGGACCCATGCCGAATCTTTTCAGTCTCCTGAGGGGGAATAGGCTTTGTCGTGCCCTCTTCACGACTGTCTTGGTGTGTTTGGACCATGATAGTTTGTTGGTGATGTGGACACCAAGGAACTTGAAGCTCTCAACCTGTTCCACTACAGCCCCGTCGATGAGAATGGGGGCGTGCTCAGTCCTCTATTTTTTCCTGTAGTCCACAATCATCTCCTTTGTCTTGGTCACGTTGAGGGAGAGGTTGTTATCCTGGCACCACACGGCCAGGTCTCTGACCTCCTCCCTATAGGCTGTCTCATCGTTGTCGGTGATCAGGCCTACCACTGTTGTGTCGTCGGCAAACTTAATGATGGTGTTGGAGTCGTGCCTGGCCATGCAGTCATGGGTGAACAGGGACTACAGGAGGGGACTGAGCACGCACCCCTGAGGGGCCCCCGTGTTGAGGATCAGCGTGGCAGATGTGTTGTTACCTACCCTTACCACCTGGGGGCGGCCCGTCAGGAAGTCCAGGATCCAGTTGCAGAGGGAGGTGTTTAGTCCCAGGATCCTTAGCTTAGTGATGAGCTTTGAGGGCACTATGGTGTTGAATGCTGAGCTGTAGTCAATGAATAGCATTCTCACGTAGGTGTTCCTCTTGTCCAGGTGGGAAAGGGCAGTGTGGAGTGCAATAGAGATTGCATCATCTGTGGATCTGTTGGGGCGGTATGCAAATTGGAGTGGGTCTAGGGTTTCTGGGATAAGGGTGTTGATGTGAGCCATGACCAGCCTTTCAAAGCACTTCATGGCTACAGACGTCAGTGCTACGGGTCGGTAGTCATTTAGGCAGGTTATCTTAGTGTCCTTGGGCACGGGGACTATGGTGGTCTACTTGAAACATGTTGGTATTACAGACTCAGTCAGGGACATGTTGAAAATGTCAGTGAAGACACTTGCCAGTTGGTCAGCACATGCTCGGAGTACACGTCCTGGTAATCCGTCTGGCCCTGCGACATTGTGAATGTTGACCTGCTTAAAAGTCTTACTCACATCGGCTACGGAGAGCGTGATCACATAGTCATCCGGAACAGCTGGTGCTCTCATGCATGCTTCAGTGTTGCTTGCCTCGAAGTGAGCATAGAAGTGGTTTAGCTCGTCTGGTAGGCTTGTGTCACTGGGAAGCTCACGGCTGTACTTCCCTTTTGTAGTCTGTAATAGTTTTCAAGCCCTGCCACATCCGACGAGCGTCAGAGCCGGTGTAGTACGATTCAATCTTAGTCCTGTATTGACTCTTTGCCTGTTTGATGGTTCGTCGGAGGGCATAGCGGGATTTCTTATAAGCGTCCGGGTTAGAGTCCCGCTCCTTGAAAGCGGCAGCTCTACCCTTTAGCTCAGTGCGGATGTTTCCTGTAATCCATGGCTTCTGGTTGGGGTATGTACGTACGGTCACTGTGGGGACGACATCATCGATGCACTTATTAATGAAGCCAGTGACTGATGTGGTGTACTCCTCAATGCTATCTGAAGAATCCCGGAACATGTTCCAGTCTGTGATAGTAAAACAGTCCTGTAGCTTAGCAAGGGAATAGGGTGCCATTTGGGGGACACATAAAGTAATGCTTGTGTATCGCAAGTAAGAAGTATCAGCCTCATGGGTCATGCAGTTTAGAGAGAATGGTTTATTTTCAATAAGACAACATTACTTGGCAGCTAATGCTAGCAGCTAATGCTAAATTATTTGACACTATTAAATATTTTGATAAATAGACAATGTACAAGAATTATCCATCAACACAATAAAATCTACACATTTTAAATACATACATTCTGGAAAAAACGTCAGTGCTGTGGGTATGGTTCATACAGATCACAGGTAAAGGTGTAACGTTGAAACAGAATCTAAGTGTGTACCTGTTGGCCATTTATCCAGGATGTTGTTCTAATGATTCTGACGTGTGATCGGTGGTTGCAGGAGAAGCGTCTGAGCAATCTGTCCAATCAGAGCCACGACTCTGCGGCGTCCAACAGCACGGCCTCTGCCAACTCTCACGAGGAGAGGCGGTGTCTGATGACCACAGCGGGGGAGAGCCTAGTGGGTGGGCGTGGCGAACAGGAGGAGGAGGAGGAGCTAGACGAGATGGAGGTGGAGTATGTAGAGGTGAGTTTCACTACTACGACAGTCTCTGTTACAATCGCCTCTCTTAATACTGGAGCTGTCATTTAAGACCTGGAGTTTCTTAGCTAGGCAAAACACTGTGCCTTAGTTATACCCTTTTTCCTGGTCTGGTCATCGAAATAGCCATGACTAGTGAGACGCATCCTTGTCTTCAATACGATCCTTTCCCTCCTGCTCTTTCTTTCTCTCCCGTCACTCACACCATCCTTTCCCTTCTTCCGCCAGCCCACGGTGCACTTTGCAGAGGAGCCCATCTACCAGGGTGGGGATGAGGACGGTGAGGATGAGGAGGGTGAGGATGGGGTCCCATGCAGCGACGTAGAGGAACAGAGGCCCCAGTTCCCCACGGAGAAGCAGCGTCTGATCAGGAAGGACACGCCGCACTACAAGAAGCACTTCAAGATCACCAAGCTGCCCAAACCTGAGGCGGTGGCCGCGTTACTGCAGGGCTTCAGCCCCGACGCACACCTGGCCCAACACCCCACCTCGCACCACCCTGACCCCGAGGAGGAGGAGGAGGAGGAGGAGGAGGAAGAAGAAGAGGAGGAGGAGTGTATGGTTACTCCACAGCGCCACAACAGGATAGAAGAGCCAGAGCTGGAGGATAGGAGTCTGCTTCATGTCAACTCTTCCCTGCAGCCGGTCAAGGTAAACGGGGCTCGGGGTGGGCTGGGGCGGGGGGGGGGGTCAGGGAATGGGGGGTAGGAAACACACATTTACAATGCAGGCTACATAGTTCATAATGTGTAGAGCTGTAGTATAAAACTGAAACGTACACCAGACCTGCCAACCTGCACGCATTTTGCATACTATGCATACAATTTGAGGTCAAAGTAAGCTGGTATGAAAAACTACCCTAAAATATGCAAAAATAGGCTTCTAGTTTACACATATTTTTTTTACTCAGCCATCTGAAGTTGCAGCTGAGCCTATCAGAGGATTTGGGCGAGGAGAAAGAATCTCTAGCTCTCTTCTCCGGCCCGCTCGTAGTACTTTTTTCATCCCTGGAGCTGGATGGAAGCTCTCCACTTCGTCCGTTGATACGACTGATGTATGTGTGAGGAAAAAGGGTAGGGGAAATGGAGAACGAATTGTTTGCCAAATACATTTTCCCAACTTGTATGTGTTAGTCAAGCACATAAACATTGTTATTTCGTAGTTAGCGCCTTAGCTATGGCATCATTACGACGAAGGTATTTAGCCACAGCGTTTAGTCAACTAAGTGACCACATGCTTTGATGTCCGCATTGCGAGCGCATTGATGAGAAAGGAAACCTGTGCGGCGTTGCGGTGGTTCAGTGCGCGTCGCTGTGTAGATGGAAACAGACATTGCAGAAGGAGCTATTCCGCTAATACCGTCCTTCACAGAAAGTTATGTTAGACTTCAATTATATTATTACTTAAAGATTAGTAGGCTTATGTTAAAGAATCAGTTGTTGATCTGTCCTCTTGATATAGCTGTATGTCAACAGTAGGCTGCTGATGTTCACCAATGACAACAACATAATGAATGAATGGCCTGGTAGTCAGACCTAATTTGATGTCAGGGATGGAGATCTGAAACATGCTCATATAGGCCTAGTTCAGTTGTTTCATCTTCCAAATAGCCTACAGCAAGATAGACTACTACATTGCATCCGGTAATTTAATTATTCCAAATGTTCTCCCCAAACAAAATTTCAAATTTTTACAGTTCACGTTTTCACTAAACTATTCACATAAAGACACCTATTAATTACAATAATCATTACCCCTACATTTAACCTAGAAAAATGTGAAAGTGTCATTGAGACCACCTCAATTTCATTTAGGATCAAACACAATACTTTGTATTGGCTATATTGTTTGATATCATTTAAGACTCTAGGTTTCAGGAAATGGCAGTTACAGGTTTTTCAATAATCCAAAAATACACGTATTTCCTGAGGGGGAAGTTGACTGACCCCCTGTGGACCCCCCCCCCCCCCCCCCCACCCAACCTTAGGCCTACATCAGCACATCAGGACAACCTGGGCTAGTTTTCCTTGAGTGTTTTTTGCCCTCATGAAGCTGACAGACAGTTGAATAAAGCTTTTGCACACCCGTTCTATTCATGCTGACATGTTAGTGGCCTGCTCGCCTCTATGCAAACCCTAGACACTCAAATGCATAGAAGCTCCCAGTCTGTCACCATGCAACCTGCATTCAGTTTGGACTGCACTGGATTGGATTGAGAAGGAGATTACATTGCATGCAAAGGAACAACAATTTGTTTGTTTACAGGAATGTTTGCTGGGAGTCTTAAAGTTTGCACTCGGGTGCTTTTACGTTGCTCTCTCTGTCCCACACAAGCAGGTTTTTCTCTGACATTCACAGTAGTCGGTAACCTGATCAAAGACATATAATAACTAACAAGAGTGGACTCTCTCATTAACAACATTTGATAAACGTTTGTAAATGTCGTCAAACAGACTGACAGTTTACAAATGGACAACCAGCACAAAACAAATCCCTTGTCAGTTGTTTAAATGCTTCAGACATGGACACATTTCACCCTTTCAGTCCTGGCTATGTACCAAATGGCACCCTATTCCCTTTATAGTGCACTACTTTTGACCAGAGCCCTAGCCATATGGGCCTTGGTCAAAAGTCATACACTATATAGGGAATAGGGTGCCATTTGGAATGCAAGCATGCGTTTATCCACACACTTCCCAGTCTACTCAGAGTGGAGCTCCATCTTGTGGCTGCTCTGAGCTCTCGCATCAAGTATCCCGGCTCTCTTGGACCAGTTGTCAATAATATCAATGATAAAATCTATTAATACAAAGTGATAGTCTATCAAATGACGAATCCCCACCCCATCAGCTGTGCACTAGACTCATATGCTGGCCTCCTGCTGGCCTCCTGCTGGCATCCTGCTGGCCTCCTGCCCTAAAGTCCCCTGCACCATGCCTCTGTCTGCCCACCTCAGTACTATGCTTCTCACCATATCATTTGCTGTCTCCTGTTCTGTTTTTAATCGGTTAATGACTTTTCCCTGACCTGCCTTCCTACATTTGTGTGTGTGAGAAAGTGTATACTGTGGCTCCTGAATTGTATGATTCAAATTGATTATTAATCGTAATCACCACTAGAGTTGCTACCTAATATGCAGAAAATGAGTGGGGTGTGTATGATATAGTGTATGTGTATGTGTGTGTCTATGCTTGTTGGTCTGCAGACCATCCGGAATGTGTCTTGGCAGAGGTGGAAATGTTGAGACCCAGACAAACTGATATCATTTACAAAGTCTTGTTGGAGTGCGGTATGCACCTACATAACCTATTTTCTAACAATTCTGCAGAAGATTTCAATCTTAAAAGATAACAACACATCAATGGCTTAGAACAATTAGATTAGCATTTTTCCCATCTAGCTACTATTTTTAAAAGGCTGTCTAGATCTGGAATTGACTTGTAATTGCTTAATGGCTGATTTTAGATTTTTTTTTAATAATCTGGTTTTTGGGGTTGTTGAATGATTGACAAGTACAACTAAATCTGAGAGACTACTGCACATTACAACATATACTGCACAGGTAAAAAGGTTTACTGTGGTGTCTATCTATAGGCTAGAGGGAACTTTGCTTTGGGAGCCACTGCTTTCTTTCCCCCATTTCTCTTTCTGCACACAAGCTGCCCTCCCCGTGTGGCCTGTAGCTCATCTTATCCTGGGTCTCAAGTTTCCACCCCTGCCTGCATCTGCTTCTGGTGGCTCGGGAGTGAGTGATGTGTGGGACTGGTGTTACCACTGTTCAAATGACCTCCACTGGAAATCAAATTGGCCTTAATAATTGTCCCTACTTCACACACTATACAATAGTGGATATTACCTTTTTGGGTTTATCACAGTGGCTGAATGAATGTGTGTGTGTGTGTGTGTGTGTGTGTGTTACTGTTCTTTTGAAGTGTGTGAGTTTTTGTTCTGTTCTGTTTTTGATTGGATTTATCTGTTTCGTTTTGGTTGGAGTATGCTTGTGTGCATATTAGTTACTTTGGCCTCACTAATCCGCATGCCTCTTGCTGGTTCCTGTCCTAACAGGGGGTGTCATTTGATCAAGTCAATAATCTGCTGATTGAGCCTGCTCGAATTGAGGAGGAAGAGGTCTGTACCTACTCTCTTTCACTCCATCCACTCCCGCTCTCTCTCGTTCTCTCTCCTTCCCCCACTCACCCATTCACCCACCCGCTGGCTCTCAGAAGTGGGGAAAAAACAACCAATAATCAATGATTAATCCAAGCCAATCGCCATGCAAACGCCCACCATAACTCCCCATCGGACCACCAGCGTAATAGAATTTGAAGGGGAGGATGCAGGAGTAACACTGTTATATGGCCAAAGGGTTATAGGATTCAAGTAATGTATATAAAACAATATGGTTATACAATTGTAATGGAGTTATATGTAGGTGGTAAGCAAGTGTTTACCCATCAATGACGTCCTACCCTATTCTCAGGTTCTACCACGCTGTTGCTCGTCCTTCTCCCCCCTCCTCCTCCTCCGGTTCAGGCTGTGGGGCCCTGGAGTGAGTGGGCTGAGTCCATCTTCTTTCAGCACCGTTACTCAACCGGTGTGTCCAGCAGGATCTGGCCCACATATTGCAACTTCTAACCAGGAGAAATGTATTTTGTAAAAGATATATAAGACATCTGAAATAGTTGAAGGATTTCTTTGTGAGAACGTATGTGCATTATGAAAAAATGTAAAGCTGTTCCTCAGTATGGTACCACGCCCTACATCTATCATGATGTCAAAGGAACACGCTGGCTCTTTCCAGTCATTTTAGTCCAGAGGGTAAGCACTTTGCTAAACGGTCTGCACTGCTGAATAGCTCAAGAACCACAAAGAAGCTTATCAGAACATAAAGGCCCAGTGCAGTCAAAAACATGATTTTCCTGTGTTTTATATATATTTCCACACTGAGGTTGGAATAATACTGTGAAATTGTGAAAATGATCATAATGCTCTTTTAGTGTAAGAGCTGTTAGAAAAGACCACCGGAAATTTCACATTTTATTTTGTGGGATGGAGTTTTGGCCTGCATGGTGACATCAGGTGGTAAATTAGTTAATAGACCAGGGGTTCCCAAACTTTCTTGGCCCACGATCCTCATTTTGATATTAAAATGCTTTTGAGACCCTACCATGTAAAAAAGTATGTAATCAACAGCCAGAGTTAACTTTTTTATTTGGGCTGTGACAGTTACACCAACAAAAAAACCACCCTAATCTGTGAGGTGTAAGGCTAGTTGGGAGCTGCATGAACATGGTTATGCCTAACATTTTTAGAACCATTAGACCAGAACCTTGATGCTATTTGACGTCTAAGTTTGAACATTAGTCTGACAGTATTTCAATCTGAAGACAGTATGGTTTGAAGTGACTGAAATGCATCAGAAAGGTATGCGAAGTTCAGAAGGTCATCAGGCAAAAATGTTGTATGATATTCTGTGTAGAAAAGAACATCAATGATGTTATTTTCCCCCCAGTCTGATTTAGTGCATGGTCTTGTCCACTAGGTTCTAACGGCTTGTGGGCATAGTAGAGGCATAATATGTTGTAGCTTAAAGCATTCAAAAGATGAAGCCACATTTGTAGAAAGAAAAACGCTTTGTTTATTACAACCGC